AAATCTGACGTGCTTTAATGACATGGTATTGATCTGTAATAATATTTTGACATTTCATCATTTTCTGTTAGTTAACTGGACACATCATTGAATTTTTAATGGAAGGACCAAATCGGGGTAAAAATGGTAAACAGTAGGGACCAAATCAGGGATTTTTTGAGTTCGGGGATCAAATCAGGGTCCGTACAATAGTTGAGGGACCAAAAAAGGGTTTTAACCTAAATAAAATTTATCTCGTGTTACTCATATTTTACATTTGGATTAAATCCTTTACAATTTGTACCCCTCTCCTTTGCCCGGTCGTTTCTCTCTGCCCTTTCGCAGACAGGCCGGCTCCGTTGGAAACCATCTCCTCCGTCAACGATCAGAATTATCTCCTCCTTCCTTGTGCTTCTTCTTCTTCCTTCCCCCTCTCTTTCTCCCCCCTTTCCTCGATTTCCATCTGGTCTAAAGATCCAAGCCAAAATCAGTAGTAAGAAATCGTACTCCACTTTTGCCGGCGTGGTTGCCGATGGGTGTTGAATGGTTCTCCAACATCTTTGTTCTCATCGATTGTTGATTCTCTTGCAAATCTGAGGGTAGCAATTCAGGTTCCTTTGAAGCAAATTGAGATTTGATTTTTCTAGATTTGATTGAGATGTGATTTTTGTAATGAAATTTGTAAGCTTACAGAAAATTCGTTAATTGATCTCATCAGCGCGTATTCTGCAGCTGCGAGCAAAAGCATCCAATCTTAGGCAAGCTTGTTTTGGCTTTAAACTCTATAGCTTCTTAGGCTTCTGGGTTCTGTGTTGAATTGAAGATTTTGAAATAAAGCTATAATCTTTACCATAGTCATGTACTTGGAAAAGGGATGTTCTTTGATGTTAAAAAGTCCACAAATCTTCAATCCCATTTGCATTTAACACAAACCCACTTCTGAACCCCAATACTGAATCCCAAATGGAGCAAAACCGGACCCTTCTTGAAGAATCCCAAATGATACATAGATTGAAACATGAACCCAGCATTGCGTCAGCCCTGCATTATTTCAAACACATAGCCAATTCAAATGCCTTTAAACACACTCCAGAGACATACTAATTCATGATCAAGAAGCTTGCCAAGGAGTCTGAATTGGATGGTGTTCAGTATCTTTTACATCAAATGAAGTTAGAAGGACTTAGCTGTAGTGAAGATTTGTTTTTGACTGTGATTGATTCTCATAGGAGAAAGGGGCTTGGCCAAGAAGCTTTGAGAATGTTTTCTGGGATTGGGGAATTTGGGTGCAAACTGACTGAGAATTTATAATCATGTGTTGAATGCATTGCTTAGTGAGAATAGGTTTAAGATGATTAATCCAATGTATCAAAATATGAAGAGTGATGGTTTGGAGCCTAACATGTTCATATATAGTATTCTCTTGAAAGCACCATGTAAGAACAATGAGGTAGATGCTGCCTATGAAAAGCTTGTGGAAATGTCAAAAGAGGGGTGTTCTCCTGACATGGTGACCTATACAACTTTAGTATCTTCTATGTGTAAGCTTGGCAAGTTAGATGAAGCAAGGAGGATTGCACTTAGACATCAACCAGTTGTGAGCGTTTATAATGCTTTGATAAATGGTTTTCTATGGTGAATTCAAATTTAAGGAGGCCTTTGGTTTCTTAGTTGAGATGGCAGAGTATGGTCTAGATCCTAATGTTATCACTTATTCAACTATTATCAGCTCTCTTTCTGATGTAGGGAAGCTTGAGATGTCCCTGGCAATGTTGGCCAAGATGTTTGTGAGAGGATGTGGCCCCAACATCCACACCTTTGCTTCATTGATGAAGGGCTATTTCCTGGCAGGAAGGGTACATGAAGCTCTTGACTTGTGGAACCGTATCACTGGAGAGGGATTTGTGCCCAACGTTGTTATGTATAACACTCTAATTCATTGCCTTTGCTACAATGGGAATATCAGTGAGGCTGTATCTGTCTCCTGGCAGATGGAGGAAAGTGGGTGCAATTCAAATGCAACTACATATAGTTCTCTTATTAATGGCTTTTCAGAGTCTGGTAACTTGTGGATTAACTGTCTTCCTACTACAGTTACTTTTAATACATTATCAAAGGTTTGTGTTGTAGTGGAAGAGTAGAGTGGGCAATGAAGGTGCTTGATCTAATGGGGGTTTATGGGTGCTCAACTAACACCATAACATTTAATGAGCTATTGGATTGTCTTTTCAAAGAAAATAGATTGGAAGAAGCTCTTGGGCTTGTCAAGGAGATGGAAGCAAAGGGGATGGAATGGAATTTGGTAAATTATAATACCATTTTGTCTGGATTTTCTCATGCTGATATGCTAGCAGAGGCACTGCAGCTTCTTGGGAAAATGCTTGTGTGGGGGATAAAGCCTGATGCTATCACACATAATACAATAATTTTTACCTACTGTAATCAGGGTCAATTTAAGACTGCCATCCAACTTTTTGATAGAATGTCAGCAGTAGGTGATTGGCACCCAGACATAGTATCATATGCTAGTATTTCATGGGGAATTTGTGATTGGATTGCTGTAGAAGAAGCACTCGGTTACT